TATTCCTCTAACCGTTTTTATTCCTATGGCTTCTAATGTCCAGTGGTGGTATGGGGAATAGGACAAGGAAATAAAGGTACCCCATATGTGTTACATATACTTGAAAACCTTCTCAGATTCTAAGTTCAAAAAACAGAATTCCTTCCCTGAAATTCCCAATGGTTTAATATTCTGTTCAGTCTTCTAATCTTTGTAATAAAAGGCCCCAAGCGCATCTCCACGTGGGGTAGACATAGTAAGGGAATGGGAGTGAGGGAGCCTCCTTTCACATAGATCTCAGCCTCCAGTTCGTCACCATCCACAAGCCACTCAGCCCTCAGGGAGTCAGTGTTCTCCTCTGTCAAGTGAGGAAGCAAACCACAGGATCTTCACATTCAACCCCTCCGGAAGAGGCTCCTCAGACACAGTAGCTCCCTTTCTCTGAGAAAGAAGCAGGATGTGAGTAGCTCCTTCTGCTCCTCCTTGGCCTAATTATAAAACAGGAATAGACTTTCTAGTTATAGGACCTTGTTCTAATTTGAGCCATTCTTGTTCCTCCCAGGATATGGAATTTATACCGAAAAATAAATAATAGGTACAGATTTTTTGGCAGCAAAATCATGTTGATGGCAACACTCTGAAGTGAAGATTTATTATGTGACCTGGTACACCTACACCTTAAGGATTGGCTTTTTAAATTCCCCTAATCCCACTAGAAATTTTTCTCCTAATTTTGTTGCTATTATTAACTACAGTTAAAATCTATTGACTGCAACACCAACAGCTTCAAACTTTATTTCTGTAGACTCTTTTTTCTCCAATAGATGTTTGTGTCTTTGAATATGGACTGATTACATTGAACTTCTAAAATCTGTACAAATAATAAAGAAAGGGAGTTATAAATATACATGACAGGTAGTGTAGTCTTCAGTAGAATAATCTTGTCTCAACCCAAGAGACCCTGAACATATAAACTTGAATATGAATATTGAATTTTCCATCCAATATGGGATGGAGATTTGAGTAATTTTATATAAATCTCAAAGGACAGAATGTCCCAAAAGTCTAAAGGTGTGGTATCATCCAGTGTGGTGTTATCTTGCTTCCATAATAAGCTGGACAAAATGTTTGAAATCGCCTGTATTTTTACAATAAGTTTTTTGGAGAGGTAGCTGTTTCAACCCCAGTAACTTATGATCATTTTCTCCAGTACTAATGACTTTGGCTCTATTTTTTTTTTTTCCCCTAGGAAAGTTCAACTTAGGCATCATTTTTATTTTTTCTCTATTTTTTTAGTGTGAGTATCCCTGTAGAAACATGAATGTATCTTTTCACCTTTCTAAAATGGCCTCTGAAGGTTAATTTCACACATTATTGGCATGTGGATTTTATTTTAAATAGTCTTTTAAAGACCTAGAGATAATACTACCCAATGTGCTAACACCTTCTTTGGAAAACCTGAAATCCTATCATGCATATAACAGGGGGAGAATCAAATAAAATAAATAAGCCAAAGTCAAATCAAACAAACAAAAATCCTTGATCCAAAATGACTAATTCCACCAAATGTACCCAGTAATTTCTGGACCCTATTATTCTCCTGAGTCCTATAAAGAATTCATGTCTCATTCCAAATCTTAGGTCTACCTCCTCTCTGTAAAAAAAAAACAAAAAAAACAAACCAACAACAACAAAAAATACCAAAAACTGAAGAAACACCAAACTGCATTAAAAACTGTTTAAACAAGAAGCAGTTAGTTGAATATTTGTTGCATAGAAAATACAATGTCAGTTCTGGAAAAAAAAAAAAAACTGAACATGACATTTTTATGTTCCAAGGGTTCACAAGTTATGGATAAATCTTATGGGAAGCAAGAGAGGAAGCGAATGGCCCACAAAGGTAATTTTGTGATTCTAGAGAAGCTGCAATATTTCAGAGAAGGTCTTTCAAGGATGAAAAGGGATTCTGACATGTAGATTCACATGAAGATAAAGATTTTCCCCAGTGGATGGAATAACCGTAATTAGATGTATGAAGACAGAGGAGTTTCGGGGAGCTAATGGGATAAGAAATAGGGTGACTGGTGTATAGTTCCGAATGTTTGTACATGGCAGGAGCATGTGTCCAACAGGAGGGTTTGGGGATGGATCACTGACAGCCTGACAGGTCAGACTAAAAAGGGTGGTTTTCACCTCACACGTGTAGCGAGCCTTTGAAATGGGGGACATTTAATGTTAGTTCTGATTTGGGCAGGAATTCCTCTCCTTGAATGATTCTGAATTACTATGCTAAGTCTTTCCAATGTCCAAAGAACATAAATAAAATCACAGTGATACGCGTAAGTGTCGGCGAACATTCCTACACGCTTCTTAGATCAATGCTGAAGTGTCCTGTGTGGGAAATGTATTTCAAGCTGATCCTTCTGCTCCTACCCACAGCTCTATTAGGACACACCTGTACCCAAAAATAAAAGGTCATAGAGTCCTTTAAATCTACCACCAAGGCCATTAGCATCGTTTCCCTCTTTCTTGCCCTTGGTGATCTGTCCCAGCACTTGTACAGCTGGGAATCACAGCCTCCACGTACACTAACAATTGAAACACTTGGAGTTCTGAACTTAATTCTGCGTTAGATTTGCTGCATTACGCTGGGAGATGCCTTTGCATTCTTCCCCGGCTCCTTCATCACTGAAATGGTGTTAATAAAAGTCATCACCTGTCCGCCTACCAGGGATATTGTGAAGATAAACTCATATCCTTAGTGGAGCTTGCAGCCAGCAGAATTCTCCATAGTAACTGCATTAATTACCGTAACAGCGGCATGGAGATGTCACCTGCTGCAAGTATTACACTTCGTGGGCTCAAGGACTCGACTGGGGGCCGGTGATCACGGATCTATGAGGAGGTGAAGCTCTCGTTGGCACACTCTTTGGAGATGCCTGTTTCATTAGATTTCCCATAGAGATTAGAAAGATTTGTCAGTATTTGAGAAGGTAGGGGGACAGTTTATTCTCTTAGAGCTTTATGTTGAACAACAAATTACCATGCACTGTGCTTGCATCCAGGTTGCATAATACAACTTTGAGAATCAACAGACCAGTCACCATATTTTTCTTATTACTTGTATTTGACAGTGTTGGCAGAGCATGGAATGGTGTGTGCATTGGATCGAGCCATCCAGTGTGTACACCGGCAACTGCCTCCCTGGCAGGCAGTTGTTCTGAGGACTAAGATGTTTCCCAGACACCTTTTCTTGATGAGCCTCCTGGTGTGACACTTTGAGGACTTGGCCTTCAGGGACAGAGGCATTGCTAACTGTGAGGGGCTAACACACTGGGAAGGTTTAGTTGACCTGATGAGCCTTTTTTTCGAATAGAAAAAATGGAAGTAGAAACAAGAGCAGAGGAGGCTGGGATGTGCAATGCTGTTGCATCTACTCAGGTCTGCATTCAGGGTGAGGTAGGTGCTCTACTAAATAACGCCCAGTGCCCAGACTTTCACCAGTGGTTTACTTCCTGCTCACACAGCTCTCCATGCATGTCTCTAAGACAACCTTCTACATAGCGCTTCAGAGACCCCGACCCCTTCTGCTGTGTGGTGTTGCTTCACACACACTTCACACACACACACACACACACACACACACACACACACACACTCCCTGTGACCGGAGTCCTTCATCCAGCCTTCCAATAAGGAAAGAAGGCGAGGATTCCATAAGAACAGTTTCAGCAGACAGACCACAAAGTGAGAACATTCCACTGGCAAGAACTCAGTGTATGATCACCTCTAAGTGCAAGGGAGGCAAATAAATATATCATACTTTGTCCCAAAGGTGAGGGACTCTCATTAGGCTCTCCCACAGAGCCCTAGGCAACACAGCGTGAGCAGTAAACACACGTTTTGGTATGACACAAACCATGAGCACTAAACACACGTTTTGGTATGACACAAACCACATATTTATACTCACTCCACCAATTCTACCAACCACGAGACCTCGGACATAACAAAGTGTTAATGTGCCACATAACAGGCACAAGCTCATGAATGAGTTTTCCTTTTCCTCCTCCTCTTTGCCTTTTCTCACCCTCTTTCCTCCCACTTTCATTCTTTAAAAAAACAAAACAAAACAAAACAACAAAACAAAACAAAACAAAACAAAAAGAAACTCGGTCTTTTTTTTTTTCCCCCCTTGGGAGTTTCCTCATAAGGTAGTATTGAGAATCATCGTAGGCAGAGCAAACAAAAGTTAACACTGTGTCTGGGACCAAACAGGACCTCAAACACTCCTGAGTTCCCATCATTTTTATCCAGCCAAGACTATGTGAGGTGGGGGAACAACAGTGGGTGACGGGCACCTGAGCATCTCTCACTTCAACATCTGGCTACACACGAGTGGAAAGGAGCTTCCAGTCTGCTGGGCATCAGATAATGAGCAGATCGACGGTGTGTCCTGACCCTATGCCCATTTTCTTGAAGACAGGGTATGGAGAAAATTGGGGGCTGCAAAATTCAACTGTAGTTACATCATTTGCCAGAGATGCAGTTTCCTTGCCAAATGTTTTGAAGAAAATGGATCAGTGCAAGGAAATGAAGCTTTTTGTCACAACAAACTGCATGAGATCCTAGAATCTTTGGAGATTTGAGCTTCATATTCTCCTTAGCCAGTGTATCTAGACTAATTGAATCCTCTTAATTGAGCTACAAATCTGTGAGAATGAGCTCTTAAGGGATTTTGCAAATGTCCTGCTTATGGATAAATCAAAATGATTACAAAGTAGTCCTTCTCACTGTGTTTTGCTGCCAGGGCCTCAGAAATGAAAAGTAAGATGAGAGGAAATGGGCACATTCTAAAATATGGAGCAGACTTGGTTCAAGTTCAGGATTAGTTGTGCGCATGTGCTTACCGACTCCTGTTTAACGAAAGTTTTCTCAGCTCAAATCTGAGAGATCTTCTGTCCCCTGGAAATGGGACATAGATTGAGATACTTTTCCTATCAATCGGCCTTCTTGTTCTACTTCTGTAATGTTCATAGTGTTCTGAACAAATAGTAATTAAAGGTATGATTCTTTCTGAAAGGGAGATGAAGTCATAAAACCCTAAAGTTAATGTAATTTCTCAACACATTTGTATCATTGGTATTCTGAGATCCACTCACACTATAAAATGCATGGAAGAAGCTTTCTGAATTTCAAAATGCTTATCATCCTACCAAAAAAGAAGAAAAAAAATGATGTGTTTAAAAACCAGGTGCTGGGGGCCAGCTGAGACCAAGGTTTGGCTGTTCCTTGGCATTTTAAGCACCATGAATAATCTAAGTTCTGTTTTCTGAAAATGCTTCAGGAAGAATTAGTGGTCTAATCTGATCTTTACTAGCTACATCCTTTTTCACTTCTGGTCATTATTTATAGATACAAGAAATGGAAATGATGTATTTATAATTATAATTTGTCAAGCTGAAACACTAAATTAATATAATCAATCCCATTGTTAGGTTAATTTCCATTTACACACCTGAACAAATGACTTTATCTCTCCAGCTTCAAAACTCTGGGCTCAGGGCTTTCTCATGTTTTAACATGCAACAGTGATCATGGAGATATGAATTTTCTGCAAAATATTAATGTTGGTACATTTGAATATTTCATTTCTTACAGTAGGATTTTTGATTTGAAAAGATACACTTGAGTATCAAAATGGGCAACATAAGTAGCGGGTTTGTAAAAACAGGATCCACCCTTTTCCCAAACACATTACCAATGAGGATTTCTAAACCAGCTTTTCATACGATTATTATCTTCCAGCTTTATTTTAAAATTGCATGTTAAGCAAGTTGGGAAACTGATAACTGGCTCAAAACCAGTGTCCATGAGACTGAAAATGTTCCAATGAAAAATAAGCCCCTGACACGGCCAAATTAAATCTCATAAAGTTCATCCAAGCTTCTTGGCCTTTACTTCCAAATTTATTTTATCTTATGTACCATAAATTGAAAAGCAACAGGACAAGTTATGCTGAACAGCTGGCCTACTATTATAAAAATTCTGGAAATGAAGTTAACTATGGTTTATGATTCCATTTCAGTGCTGGTGATGAGGAAGCTACATAACAAAGGAGATTTCCTTTGCTGCCTTTTGCAAACACTCACGAAGACAGACGATGCATTTATGATGTAAAACATATTCTCTGCACATGTATGGGCAGACAGAATAAAGCATGTAAGTTCTAAAGACTGACTCAGAGAAGCACTAAAACCCCAGTGATCTTTTAAAAAAAAATCTTATAAATTTACATAACTCCTTAAAATTATCACTATTACTTATGGCTTTGGCTCATATAGTTTTAGGACCAAAAGTTCTCAGGTGAAAAACCAAAATAGCTTGTACTTGCAGACAGAACTGCATATAATGAAGCAGTCTCACACACAGCATCTCACGTGATCCTCACACCCCGTTTTGTAGAAGAAAAGGTGGGCACAGTTCCGTGGCTACCAAAAGACCATGCCCAAGGCTCATGACTGATCCTGTGGATTTGAATCCCAGTGGCCTTCTCCTTACGTGATGACAGTAACTTTACTATTGCATTGTGTATATTAATTGGTCTTGCCGGGAGTGCTGGGAGAAGTTCGCGTTCATGAGCAGCAGAAGAAATGACCTGAAGAGCTGCCCGTGTCTAGAACGACAGGCCAGTCTGGGTGGAGAGTTCAGGAAAGTACGTGACAACAGAAGGAAGGGGAGAAAGGATAGCTTTCAGGTGCCCTACAAACACCTTTCTTCTGAAACACCACTCAGAATGCTGGAAGAAAATTCAAACACTCACACACATACTCACACATGCACACACACACACACACACACACACACACACAAAACACACACTGCCTTAGTCAGCTGTAAAGAAAGTGAAGCATTCTGAAAAACTGAAAACCAATGTACAAATGAGATCCAAAAGGAAAACAGGACACTGGATTTTACTCTACCATGTCCAATTAAACCAGGCAAACATGAGCTTTGATTTAAAAACTTAAGATAAAGAAGGTCATGACCAAGGTATAGAGTCTAAAAGGAGCCCAGAATTCTGCAGCTCTGAGTGGTAGCACGCTGAAGAAGAACCAGCCCCACAGAGTAAACCAGGAAAGGGCCACGGACCAGGTTGGAAGAAGAAACCCAAGCCATGCATGAAATTAAGGGCTGAACTTTCCTCTATAAGAAAATTTAATTTACTGTGGCCCCAGGTTTATGATATACATAGAAGACAATGCAATCCCTTTTGAAGGAATAGCACTTTGATTCACTCTCCAGAATATTCTCACATAAAAACTCATAAGACAGGTAAGATTGAAGTTAAAATCACAAGACAAGAAGACAAGCTAAAAAGTTATTAAAAGAAAAATTAATGGGCATATGTATATAAAAATGATGAAATGCTTAAAAAATAGCTAAATTGAAACCTAGGCCTGAAAAATAAGATGACTGAAATTTGTTTTTAAAATCAGATTTAACATCAGTTCATCTAGATGAAGAAGGAACTAGAGAAATACATGGTGTATTTGAAAAATTTCTTCAAGATGGCAGACAAAGCAGAGGTTGAAAACATGGAAGAGCAGTGAAAGGAAACCGACACTAGAGGAAGCCATCTAAGGTTTGCAGTGGAGGTCATGGAGCAGAGACGAGAATGACTGGAGGAGGGACAGCAGTCAGAGAATGGCTGAAAAATTTCTGGAGATGCTGGTAAGTGTTAATGCTCTAGTTCAGGATCCCAGTAAATTCTGACCAATAAATGTAGTTAAAGTAAAACTAGTCATTTTATACGTCAATGGGACTTAGCTCTGCAATTAAAAGACAAGGTTGTTAGAATGGATAAGTAAACCAAAAAATCAATCTATGTATCATTTACAAGAGACAAACCTAAAACTTCAGGACAGAGAAGATTGAAAAGTAATTTTAAAAATGATATATCAACTATAAGACAAATACTAAGCAAAAGAAAGTCGGTCTAACTATATTATCATCATGTAAAATATACTTCAGGCCAAAATTAAGTTACTCAAGTTAAAGAGGGCTACCAAATAACAATTAAAAAAAATTGAATTCATCAAGAAACTGTGAAACCCAGGGCACCTCGGTGGCTCAGATGGTTAAGTGTCTGCCTTCAGCTCAGGTCATGATCTTGGGATTTTGGGATCGAGACCTGCCTCAGGCTCCCTGCTTAGCGGGAAGACTGCTTCTCCTTCTCCCTTTACTGTTCCCATGCTTGTTTCTCTCCCTCTACTTGTTAAATAATTAAATAAAATCTTTAATTAAAAAAAAAATAAGAGAGAGAGGAAGAAAGAAAGTTCAAGCTTTCAACTGACCTGAATCTGGGTCAGGGAAGAGAGCATAAGAAAGTTTAAAAAGAAAAGAAAAGAAAAATATGAAACCTTATACTTGCATGCACTAAATAGTGTTCCTTCAAATTATGTAAAGCAATTAACAGATATGATTGTTTAGAGAAATTTTAGACATATAGAAAATGAGCAGATAGTACAGAGTTCCCATGTACTCCTATCCATGCTTGGTTTTTTTTCTATTATTAATATCTGATGTGAATATAGCATATTCATTACAAAAGATGAATCAGTACTAATACCTTATCATTAACTCAAGTTCATAGTTGGCATTAGGGTTCGTTCTGTGTTTTACAGTTCTGAGGGTTTCAGCAAATGCATCACATCATGTATCCACTGCTACAGTATAATACATAATGCACACTGGCTTAGAAACACCCTATACTTCACCTGTAGATTTCCCTATTTCCCCATAAATCCTTGAAAATCACTGATAATTTATTGTCTTTATAGTTTTTACTTTTCCAGACATCCACATTGCAACATAATGGTCTGGAGTCTTTTTAGATTGTCTTCTTTCACTTAGTAGTATGCATTTAAGGTTTCTCCATGCCTCATCATGGGTTCACAGCTCTATTTCTTTTTATCACTGAATGATACTCCATTGTATGGATGGACCACAACTAATTCATCAGTTCACCTACTGAAAGACACCTCGATGGCTTTTTTACAATTTGAATAAAGAGACTAGATACCTTCATGTGCACGGTTTTGTATGGATTTTCAGTTTTCAGCTTACTTGCATAAATACCAGCAAGCACAAATGCTGGAAAACATCTACGAGTACAGTTAGTTGTGGAAGAAACAGCTAAGCTCTCTTCCCAAGTGGCTGTAGCGTTTTGCGTTCCCACCAGCAGTGAATGAGTTCTCAGTCTGCATCTTCATCGGCTTTTGGTGACGTCAGTGTTTTAGACTTTGCCTGCCAATAGATGTGTTGTGGTGCTCACTATTTCAGTTTGTAATTCCCTGATGATACACAATAAATATTTTTTCAGATGCTTTATCTGCCATCTGCCTACCTTCTTTGATGAGGCAGCGGTACAGATCCTTTCCCATTTTTAGTTAGGACGTTTGTGTTTTTATTGGTGAATTTCAAGACTTCTTGACATATTTTGAAGATAAGTCCTTTATGAGATATGTGTTTTGCAAGTACTTTCTTCTAGTCCATGGCTTGTCTTTCCATTCTCTTAATGGTATCTGTCAAAGAGCAGAAATTCCAAACTTTAATGAATCTAACATTAATTTTTTCCTGTAATGGATCATTCTTTTGGTGTTAAATCTGAGGAGTCATTGCAAGATCCAAAGTCATTTCTATTTTCTTCAGTGTTGTTTTCTAAAAGTTGTATGATTTGGTGCTTACGTTTACGTCAATGATCCATTTTGAGTTAATTTTTATGAAAGCATAAACTTTGGGTCTCAATTTATTTGATTGTGGATGTCCAGTTGTTCTTGCACCATCTGTTAAAGAGGCTATCTTTGCTCCATTGTATTTATTGCCTTTGCTCCTTTGTCGAAGATCAGTTGACTGTATGTACAGGGATCTATTTCTGGGACCTCTATTCTGTCCCATCAATCCACTTATCTATAATTTTGCCAATACCACAATGTTTTCATCGTTGTGGCTTTAGTGTATTTCTTGAAGTTGAGTAGCGTCAGTCCCCAAATTTGTTCTTTGATATTGTATTGGCTCTTCCTGGTCCTTTTCCTCTCTATATAAAATTTAGAATTAGTTTCTTGATATATACAAAATAACTTACTGGAATTTGGGGAGGGGGATTGCTTTGAATCTATAGATCAATTTGGAAATAGCTTGACAATATTGAGTCATTCTACACATGCACCTGGAACATCTCTCCATTTATTTGGTTCTTTGATTTTTTTTCTTCAGAGTTTTACGGAAACTCTGTATTTCCTGATAAAGATCTTATACATATTTTGTTAGTTTTATTTCTATGTACATACTTTTTTGATGCTAAATTATATTGTATTGTTAATTTCAAGTTCCAATTGTTTATTGCTCAAATACAAGGAAGCAATTGACTTTTGTATATTAACCTTATATCCTGAACCTTATTATAATCACTTATTATTTCCATGAGGTTTTTTTTTTACTTTCATCAGTCATGTTATCAGTAACAATTTTAGTTCTCCAATCCTTTTTACATTTATCTCCTTTTCTTGTTTTACTGCATTAGGTATACTTCCAATAAAAGGTTGAATGAGGAGTGGGGAAATCTTTGCTTTGTCCTGATCTTAGGTAGAATTCTTCTAGTTTTTCATAATTATGTATGATGTTCACTTGTAAATTATTATTACTTTTCATCAAGCTGAAGAAGTCCACCTCTATTCCCATTTTTTTAGGGAGTTTTTATGATGAATTAGTATTAGATTTTGTCAAATGCCTTTTCTGCATCAATTAATATAATCATATGATTTTCCTTCTTTAACCTGTAAATATGATGGATTACATTAATTGATTTTCAAATCTTGAAATACCATTGCATACCTGAGATAATACCCACTTAGTTGTGGTATAGAATTCTCTTATACATTATTTGATTCGAATTGCTATTATTACATTGAGGATTTTGCATCTATGTTTACAAGAAGTCTGCCTTTACTATAATGTCTTTATCTGGGGTAATGTTGGCCTCATAGAATAAGTAGGAAGTATTACCTCTGTTTCTATTTTCTGAAAGAAATTGTTGAGAAATGGCATCATTTTTTAAAATTTTTAAATTTTTTTATTAGCATATAATGTATTTTTATCCCCAGGGGTACAGGTCTGTGAATCACCAGGTTTACACACTTCACAGCACACACCCTCCCCAATGTCCATAACCTAATCACCCTCTCCCTACCCCCTCCCCACCACAACCCTCAGTTTGTTTTGTGAGATTAAGAGTCTCTTATGGTTTGTCTCCCTCCCGATCCCATCTTGTTTCATTTATTCCTTTCCTACCCCCAAACCCCCCACATTGCCTCTCAACTTCCTCGTATCAGAAAGATCATAATTGTCTTTCTCTGATTGACTTATTTCACTAAGCATAATACCCTCTAGTTCCATCCATGTCATCGCAAATGACAAAACTTCATTTCTTTTGATGGCTGCATAGTATTCCATTGTACATATATCCCACATCTTCTTTATCCATTCACCTGTTGGTGGACATCTGGGTTCTTTCCACAGTTTGGCTATCATGGACATTGCTGCTATAAACATTCCGGTGCATGTGCCCCTTCAGATCACTACATTTGTATCTTAAAGACACAAATATTTTTTCAGATGCTTTATCTGACATCTGCCTACCTACTTGGATGAAGCATCATTTTTAAAATATTTGGTGGAATTCATCAGTGAAACCATCTATATCTGGTGCTTTCTTTCAGGAAAGTTATTATTGACTCAATTTCTTTAATAGATCACCTGTAACTCTCTGTGGGAAATTTGTTAGCTTGTGTCTTTCAAGGAATTGATATATCTCATTTATCAAATTTTATGTCATAGAGTTGTTCATAATAGTCCTGTATCATTCTTTTAATGTCCATGAAATCATTAGTGAGTGATAGCTCCACTTCACTGCTGATATTAGTAACTTCTATATTTTCTCTTTGTTATTTAGCCTGGTTAGAAGATTACCATTTTATTGGTATTTTCATCAATAAAAACATTTTACTGACATTTATAATTTTATTGACTTCCTATATTTTCCTGTTTTCATTCATTTGTGTTCTAATTTTTCTTTTCTTCTGCCACTCTTCAGATTTGCATTCCTCTTCTTTCTCTGGTTTCATAAAGTAGAAGCATGGGTCACTGATTTTAGATCTATCTTTCCTCTGATGGACAAATTCAACTCTGTGTGTTTCCTTCTACATATTGCTTTTCTTGCATCCCATAATTCTAGATGTTTTATATTCAAATTCAAGCTTTAATTCAAATTGAAAAAATTGATTTTATTTAGTTTTAAATATTCTTAATTTCTCTGGGACTTCTTCGACCCATGTATTATTTTAAAGTGGGCTGCTGAATCTTCCTATCTTAGGGTTTCCAGCCACCTTTCTGATATTAATTTCTAATTTAATCCCATTGTGTTATGAATGCCTATTCTGTATGATTTCTATTCTTTCATATTTAAGATATCCTTTATGTCATA